ACGGATTATGAGGTCAGGAGTTCAAGACCAGCCTGACCAATATGGTGAAACCCCATCTCTACTAAAAATACAAAAATTAGCCAGGCATGGTGGCAGGCGCCTGTAATCACAGCTATTCAGGAGGCTGAGACAGGAGAATCGCTTGAACCTGGTAGGTGGAGGTTGCAGTGAGCCAAGGTCGTGCCACTGCACTTCAGCCTGGGCAACAAAGTGAGACTCCATCTCAAAAATAAAAAACAACCAAGAAATCAATATTGCTTTTCTCTGGAGCCCAGAGTGATGCAGCTTCTGGCCCTCTTATCTGAGACAGTGTTCGTCTAGTGTAAAAAATGACGCTAATTTTCCCCCAAACAACCCACAATATCATGGGAGTAAGTTAATGGCTGGTCTGTGTAACTGATAAATTTTGGTGCTAACATATCTCTGTAACTACTCTGTATAAATTTCCTTCCTTCAGAGTGGAGTTCTGTCCTCTCTGCCTTTTATTGCTGCTGCAAGCTGTACAATTCTAGGAGGTCAGCTGGCAGATTTCCTTTTGTCCAGGAATCTTCTCAGATTGATCACTGTGCGAAAGCTCTTCTCATCTCTTGGTAAGGATAAGCGTGTGGGCTCATTTAACCAATTCCTTTTCTGCACATGGTCTCAGAGGGTTCCCTGACAGCATGTCCTCATTGCCCAGGGCTCCTCCTTCCATCAATATGTGCTGTGGCCCTGCCCTTTGTGGCATCCAGTTACGTGATAACCATTATTTTGCTGATACTTATTCCTGGGACCAGTAACCTATGTGACTCAGGGTTTATCATCAACACCTTAGATATCGCGCCCAGGTAAGAGCTCTACCTGTTTTTCCCCTCCTCCAGACCCCTCCAGAGGTGTTAGACCTTAGTAGTCACCGTGAAACTCTTTAATGTTACTGACATGCACTAATGGCAGAGAGACAAATAACTACAAATGTTTGTCTATGGCCATTTTTAGAACAACAAATGTGGCATTTTTAGAACAACGATTTCCAGCCTTGGCCAGTAATCATTTTGATAAAAAGCTTCCCAAGGTTCCCTAACAGAGATTGAACTGTGTATGCTGGGAAAAGGCCCACACATGTGATTTAGAAAAGTTTCCATGGTGTTGTTCATATTAGCTACCACATATATATACAGTCATAGTAAGCCAGCTCCTGTGCCAAGACTTGCCATGTATCAACACATCTAATCCTCACAGTTACATTAGGTAGGTCCTATTGTTATCCCCATTTTATAAGGGAGAAGGCTGAGGCACAAGGAGGTCAAATGGTGTGACTATGGTCACATAGAGGCAGAGCCAGGATTTGGACCCAGGGAGTTTGGCTTTGGAGTCTGTGTCCTGCCCGTTGCACAAACTGGCTTCTACACTGAGCTGCCAGGGTAAAGAAACTCAGTTCCCAAAGAGACTGCATTGCTCCCTGGTTATTGACTCAGTAGGTTGGTAATTTCAGGTTTGGCAAATAGACATTGCCCTGAATGTCTTTAGGTGAATGAAAAACTGCATTAAGCAAAATGACTTTGCCATAAGAGCTGAACTGTGTTAAAGTTGAGTTGCTGCAGAAGCTGTAGGTGGCTTTCTATATAAAATCATTTATAAAATCATCTTCCCACAGATATGCAAGTTTCCTCATGGGAATCTCAAGAGGATTTGGGCTCATCGCAGGAATCATCTCTTCCACTGCCACTGGATTCCTCATCAGTCAGGTTGGGCCAGTTTATTGAACATCTTCAAGTGGCAGGTATTGTTTTAGGTGTTGTAGATACACACAGTGCTCACAAGGTCTGGATGGCAACACAATTACTCTATTTACATGAGCCTCTAAATCAGACTCTGATAGGTCAGATTTCCCAGGGAAAGAAAAATATAAGCTTATTTTCTCAAGATGAATAGAGATGAGATTGATTAAAATGAGCTGTTCTGGTGCAGAAGACAGCATGTATGGCTTCCTAGAGGTACATGAGCATGAAACAATTCTTAGTTATGAATAGAATGAATGACACATGTCAAGGAATAGCAAGAGATGAAAACAGAGGGGCATAAGAAGATCATGAAGAATATGTTCAGACTAATTCCAATTTTTAAAAAATCACAAAAGGGAAACAAAGTATCCCAAGGCCTGTTTAAAGACAATTTAATGGCTGAAAAGAGATTGGCTGTGAGACATTGCAAGGAGGATTTCTCAGTGTTTGGAAATGCAGGCTCATGAGGAAGACAAAAAGACAGACCCAGTCAGGGATGGAAGGACTGACGAGAACCAACTTACAAAGAGAAGTTTTATTTTTACTGTATTTCTATGTGATCAAGTTGCCAGGTTAATATTTGACTAAACTGCTAGGAATCCACTGTGACTATAATGCTGGAAATTACTTAGTAGGGCTTTCTGAGGAGGGTCACACAGAAGACCAAATAGAACTCGTGTTGAATTGGGATGGGTTGTAGTGATAGATGTCAACAGCCAAAACCAAACCAAACCAAACCAAACCAAAATAAAAAAACAGAGAAGACACAAACACGACGCCATGGTGCCATTTTAGGCATAATTTTAAATCAGTAATATTATACATTGAAATCCAAATTTTCAGAAAAACATTAGTGTATTTTATTTTTATTTAAAGAAATAACCATCTCAACTCAGAACCCGATGTGCATTTTGGCCATTTTGTTTCCAATAGTTTCATAAACTTTCTTAAGTAGCTACTGCACATTGTTCATTATATTCCTTGTGATCAACATTGCAATACACAACTTGGAGGGCTTCTAGAACTGGTATAGAAGGAGCTTGTGAGATTGATCATTTTTCTGTGTTTTTTACCTCTAGGATTTTGAGTCTGGTTGGAGGAATGTCTTTTTCCTGTCTGCTGCAGTCAACATGTTTGGCCTGGTCTTTTACGTCACATTTGGGCAAGCAGAACTTCAAGACTGGGCCAAAGAGAGGACCCTCACCCGCCTCTGAGGACATAAAGTTACAAACTTAAATGCAGTACTGAGCATGAACTTTTTAAACATTTTTTACTTATCTTCATATTCTTGACCATAGACTCAGCAGTTCTTAACTCTCGCTGTGTGTTAGTCTTCCCTGGGGAGCCTTTATAAGATACTGATGCCTGGGACTCACTCCAGAGATTCTGAATGAATTGGTCTGGGGTGGAACCCAGATACCACTAATTTTTAGATACTCCTTAGAGGTTTCTAGCATGTACCTGGGGTTGACAACAGCTGGACAAACTTGAAAATCCATGTGGCCTTTGAATTTTCCTCATTGGAAAGTACTAAATAAATAAAAATTCATGTGAAAATGATCACTGATAAATATCTTCATAGTGGGGCAGGTTATTGGATACAGAGAAGAGCTGCTCGGAATTGTAACCATATGTTACAGATCTCAGCACCCATCAGAACTGTAAAGCTATAATCCCCAGAATTAAAGTTTTTATTATTTTTTATACATTGTAAAACATGGACGTTTATTTATGTGGTTAAATTCTATTAAAATTTACATGCTAAAATAAAATAGACCATTTTCAAATTATTTAGATTCAGATATTTCCATCAGATTAAGCAGATATTTATCCTAGCCCAATTGCAAGAGATTAATGATGAGAAAACGATCAAGAAAAGATTAAATAAATGAAGTTAACTTATAAATCAAGGACAGAGAGGATAGAATTGGAAAGCTTGTATTGTGAGAAGAATGGATGTAAAGGAAGGCAATGTAGATACTTCCAGAAGGGATAGCAATATAGTTTAGACCATATGATGAAAATTGGAGGGAGATCACAGAGACACTTTCAAGTGAAATGACAATTTATATGGGGGAGAAAAATATTGAAGATATAACAAGATGAGAAAAGGCATAGAAATGTATCGCGTACAAGGCATAGAAATGTATCACATACAAGCGAAGTTCTTTTTGAGGGTAGAAAAAGATAATTTAACCTTCTTCATATTTTTCTTACTTTCCCAAGATACTCAGGCAGCATCAACTCTAACAGGAGATAATTTGGCTCCTAACACTTAAAACATATCCTTTAGGTTGTCTCCTCACACAGAGCTGAATCTGGTTTTGCCACATGTCTGGAGAGGAGGTTCTCACCATATTTTAAATCCTATTTAAAAACTGCTAGGACAAGAACCTTGGGCTAATTCAGCAGATGAAGAGAATCTCCTAATGCAAATCAACGGGTATTTTTGAGCAGGTTTTTCAGAAAAACAGTGTCAGGCCCTGAGAATGATACTAAGATGAGAACATTGATTTTGCCTTCATGGTATTGACAATATAAAGAGAAAGGGGGGTTTTCAGAAAGCTAAAAGAAGAAGTAGAAGAAAAAAGAAAGACAGAGTATAATAGGTAGTCAAATTATGTACAGAAAAAAGAGAAAAAAAGACCAAAGAAGCGGGGGGCAGACAACCCAACTAAAAAATGGGCCAATGACTTGAACAGGGACTTCGTAAAAGAGAAAATGCAAGTGGCTCCTTAATATATAAAAAGATATTCAACTTCATTAGTCATTACAGAAATGAAAATCAAAACTACAATGAAATACCACTATAAAATTAACATAATGGATAAAATGAAAGACGATAGAAGACAAAATGTTGCCAAGCGTGTGGAGCAACTG